ATGTGTTTCTTGCAAGCAGCAAATAGATGGGTTTTGTTCCTTAATCCATTCAGCCAATCTGTGTCTTTAACTGGGAGTTGAGGCCATTAACATTCAATGTGATTATTGATAAGTAGTAACCTTGCCCTGCCATTGTCCCAAAGATATTTTCTAGTACATGCTTTGAGCTTCCTATGATCTTTTACTGGGAGATTTTCTTCCTTTACCTTCTTTCATATTTATGGCCGTGTTTCTGTGTTTCTGTGAGTAGCACATAAAGACGTTGTCTTGTTAAAAATGTTTAAGCATTTTTTGCAGGGCTGGATGAGTGGTGACAAATTCTTTCAATTTCTGTTTGCTATGAAAGGTCTTTTTTCACCTTCATTCACAAATGAGAGCTTTGCAGGATATAATATTCTGGGCTGGCAGTTTTTCTCTCTTAGTACCTGGGCTATATCTCGCCATTCCCTCCTAGCCTGTAGTGTTTCTGATGAGAAGTCTGCTGTGAGTCTAATTGGAGAGCCTCTGAGAGAAATCTGACGTTTCTCTCTTGCACATTTTAGAATCTTTTCTTTATGTTTCACTGTGGTGAGTTTAATTACAATGTGTCGTGGTGAGGATCTCTTTTGGTCATGTTTACTAGGGGTTCTATGAGCTCCTGTACTAGGATGTCTCTGTCCTTCTCCAAACTGGGAAATTTTCTGCTAGTATCTAAAAAGGCCTTCTAATCCTTTCTCCCTCTCCATGCCTTCAGGAACTCCTAGAACCCGAATGTTGGTTTTTTAAATAGTATCCTGTAGATTCCCAACAATATTTTTTAGATTTCTAATTTCCTCTTCTTTTCTTTGGTTTGACTGTATACTTTCCTGTTCTCTGTCTTCTAAGTCTGATATCCTCTCTTCTGCTTCACTCATTCTGTTTTTAAGGCTCTCTTGTGTTTGTCATTTCATCTATTGAATTCTTCATTTCATTATGATTTCTCATCACTATCATAGTTTCATGTTCTACTAGTGTTTCGTTTCATTTTGATTCCTCCTTAATATTTCATTTTCATGAGAGAGATTTTCTCTCCTGTCCATTAAGGGTTTCTGTAGTTCAAGAATTTGTTTTTGAGAACTTCTTAATGTTCTTACCAATTTTTTGAGATCCGCTTCTTGCATTTCTTCTATCTCATCATTTTCATAATCTTGAATTTGGGTGTCTTTTTCATTTGGGGGCATCATAGTGTCTTCCTTATTCTTGTTTCCTTGATTTCTGTGTTTGTTGCTTGGCATTGTGGAGATATTCTTTGGTTTTTTCGGTGTGGTGTTTTTTCTCATTATACTGTGACTCTAGATTAAGTGGACTGTCTGCTTTTGATGGATCCTTAGAGGCTGTGATGGGTGTGGCCAGAGAGCTCTGTTTGGTTCTTCAGCGTTAAGGGTGTGCCAAAGTGACTCACCGAGGTTGTTCTCCCTCTCCCTCTCACTCTCTCTCTCTCTTTTTTTTAACTCAGAAGGGAAGTAATTCTGCACAGCTGAGCGGAATTGAGGGTAGTTGATGTATGAAATCTGGCCACTGTGGGTATGATATTCATCTTCTCTACCCCAAGGACTACACAAAAGGTCTATGCAGCCCTCAGTGTGGTCTCAAAATTCTCTGCAGTCTCCCACCAGGTTGCCAAGGTTATCGAGTTTGAGTACTCCGTGAGTTCTTTCACCCACCCTCAGATTTTCACAGTCTCATTTCATTAGCTCCACACCTGCACTAGGTCCTAACCTCCTGTTATTTCTCCCCACCCAAGTCAGGTTTTTCTGCTTGGGTGATGGCAGATGCCGCTTTATGAATGTCCAAAATGGCACCTGCTCTTTGTCTTGCTCGAATTTGTAAAGTGAGTGGAGAGAAAGGCGCGTGTCCATGCCGGTCCCCCTTATTTATTAATTTTTTTCTCTCCTCCTGTCAGCCTGGTGAACTTTCCCCAGTGTGGCTTCAAGCCTCATTCCCTTTAGGCTCTTTCTGCCATTTCCCCGCCAATGCCTCGGGCTACCGAGGTTTTGTCTCACCTCCTCTTCCAGCGCTGGTGGGCAGACTCCATGTCTGGTTCTGAGCTGTGGGCGTCCTTGCTCTCCCCGTAGGTCCTCTGTGTCACATCCACTAGATCTGGAAAAGTTTCCTCTGCAATTTTTTCCTGAGCCTTTTCCTGAGGCTACAATAACTCCACTTTTATTAAACTATCCTTTCCCGGACTATCAGTGCACACTCTCACTATTCCACCATCTTGGCTCCGCCCCTCAAGATTTAATGTGATTTATAGATACAATTCTAAGAACATAGTGATACTCCCTTCCTCCTTCCCTAATCCACTCTCCATCCCACCATCCTTCCATCTCTTTTCTTTTTTCTTGTTTTGAGGTAACATATTTAAAATTTGCATACCATCCAAAAAGCTTAATACTTCCTGTAATAATAAATTTAACAAATCAAAAAGTAAAAATAGTTTAATGGGAATATAGACAATGGCTATAAACTATAATTGGAAATTCTCCCATGAACTGTAAATTTTAAAGTAATCACAGATCACTAAACTTGTAATAGTATAACATTATTAACTGCTGGGATGACCAAAGCATAAAACAAAGTTTTACAGAACTATGTTTCCAGCAGTACTGATACAAACAGACATTTCTTTCTATTTGTTTTTAAAATATTAGCTCCAACATGTAGGGGAGGATTGCTTTAGCTGTTGTGAGCATGTTGGGCAGTGAACCAGCAGATGGGAGGTGTCTCTCTGCTTTTAAATAAAATCCAAAATTAATAGAAAATTAAACATTTCCAGAGCAGACTGGAATCTACACTTCTCTGAGCCCAACGTAGAAGGAAGTGAACAAATAGGGTTTATTCTCTTGCTGCATATTTACTTGTCATGTCATGCATATTTTCATGGTTAAAAGAATCACATGAGAATCTCAAGCAATGTTTTTGAAGATGCATGTGAACAATTGAGGAAGAGTATTTTTTTATTTCATACTATGTGTTGAATGCTTTAACATACAGTTAATAATATGTGTATAAACTTAATTTAAAATAGATCTTAGTTAAAAATAAGAGTAAGAATAAGAGATGAAGGAGGAAGGGAGGTGGAAGTGTGGGCAGGAGGCGGGCACCATGGGAAGACTCACTATGTTCCTAAAGCTGTGATTATAAAATGTATGAAATTGTAACTGTAAAGCTGTATAGTTCTGCATAATTTCCTACAGACTTCCTTCTAAGGGTACAGTTTCAAAACTTGCCATGGGATAACAAATCCCCTTAGGTGTGAAAGGGTGGGTTGGGGGTTAAAAAAAGCATTTGAAGTGATCATGGGTATAAGATTAAGCATTAAAGTGATCATTTAGATAGAGTGAAGTATTACAAAGATCATACATATAGGATTAATTGTTTTATAATAATAGAATCAAAAAGTGTTACTGCTCCAATATGGCAAGGAGTCCATAGAGCTGACTCATAGAAAGACCATCACTTGAAGTAGCACTCTGACCTCAAAATCAGCCCTTAATGCACTCTGGTCTGGCTTAAAAGCCCATGAGAGAATTTCAGGCATGAAAGCCACAACACTGTTGCAAAAAGTGTCCCTATATGAAGGACCTCTTTGGGTGAGACCCCAGTGGAAAGGAGTGGTCATCAAAGAAAGATGTACTTTTCTCTAAAGGAAGGAGAAAACTTTTACTTTTCTTATGGCCTTGTCTAAATATTGAAGAAATTAGTGGATTCAATATGCTTCTATAGCCTAGGCAGCTCATGTCAAGAGCCTCAGGTGATCACTGACATCATACATAAGAGTGCTAATTATTATATTATCAACAGGAGTTACTGCACACTAACTTCCCATGCAGGCTCTATATGTGCTCAAATACTTGAATTATGAGAGTTAATAGTAAAACCTGTTTTCAAAGATTTACTTTGTTTTAGTGTATTGAGTGTAAGATATTGTTATGCCTCATAAGTTTTAGTTATGCCTAAGTGTCCAACTCTATTGCAGTTTTCACTGGGGGGTTCTTCAACTCATGGTAAAAATTTTCTCTATTATAACCATTTTTAAAAGAAAAATAAGAAAGGAAATAGGATGTAGGGTGGGAGCAAAACGGGGGGGGTGGGTGGAGTGGGAACTGTCTTTTTGTTCTTAAAACCATATGTATGGGGGCCTGCATTGTGGTGCAGCCAGCAAAGCCTTTTGTGCCAGCCCGATATGGGCTCCAGTTCAATTCTGTGCAGCACCACATCCAATCTTGCTCTCTGCTATAGCCTGGGAAAGCAGTAGAAGTTGGCCCAAGTCCTTGGGCACATGGGCCCCTGCACCCATGCTGGAGAACCAGAAGAAGCTCCTGGCTCCTGGCTTTGGATCAGCACAACTCTGGCCAATGTAGCCATCTGGAGAGTGAACCACTGGATGGAAGACCTCTCTTTCTCTCTATCTTTCTCTGCCTCTGCCTCTCAAGAAAATAAATAAATCATTTTTCAAAACCAAATGTAAGATACATGAAATTTTTTCCATTTATATAAATTAAAAAAATAAAAAATAAAAAAAACTCAAGAAGCTCTTTGTCTTTGGATGTTATTTTTTCCAGGATTCACCTACCTTATTTATTTTTTGTATTGGTTTCCCATGTATGATATCCTCTCAGTTTTCTACTCAATGCTGTTCATTTTTACACAAGTAAGTTGAGACCTTCCTGAAAGACTGTAAAAAGAAAATTCATAGAATTCAGTCAACAAACAATACACTCAGCTCTATTATTGGAAACACCAGGGCATATGCTTGTGTTCCTTCCTCCCCAGACCAACCCTCAGTCTCGTTCTGCACCCAGGAATGACCATCAGATACTGTGACTTGCTCTCTGGATAATATTTTGGGTCACTTAATTGGGCCATTTTGGATCTATTACTAAAACTCTAAGAAAGGTTAGCTATGAAATTCTGGAGCAATATTTCTGTTTCTTTAAAGGCAAATGCTGCCTTCACTGGCTCCACCCAATCTGAGCTTCCTGAATACAGAGGCTGTGGGGAGGGCAAACACTTCCCCTACAGTCACCTCAACAGCAACAGCTACAACAGCCTCTCTAGAGAAACCTGAGAACTCACCAGCTTGTTCAAAAGGTGAGCCTGTCTGAGAAGAGGGCCCAGAATGACAGATCTGGGAGGGGCAATAGGGAACAGGGCACTTGGGTGGGGTGGATTCTGATCTAAGGAGGGAAAATATAAAGTGCCAACAGGTAATGTAATATTCAGAGGATACTTCCAAGGTGGTAGAAGATGGGTGGAAGGGAGGGAGTAAGATTTTTCTATCGTAGTGTCCATTCATCGATATTTAACAGGACAAACTTTTGCTGAATAGGGTGCCTTTCCTAATGGCTCGGTGATACTTAGCATTGCTTGGCAACCTGGCAACCTTAATAGGAAAGTAAGTGCTCCCATGGCAAATTTTTAGAGCTGGAAAATTATTTAGGGACAATCTAAATCTCTCTTTTTACTCAAAAAGAAAATCAGAATCCCAAGGTTTGTTCATTCTCCATGTCTTATCCAGGCTATTAATGATAAGATGATAAAATTTAGTCTGCTCACTATTTTCCAACAGGTAATAAATGTAAGCTGTGTCCTTAACAGTGCAACTTGCGAGATGGAGAAGGGAGTGCTATGGGAGCAGATTAGTTACTTTCTCAACCTTCCTACCACACTCTTCTTTTTCAGGCCACATGAAGTGGTACAACCTCATAAATGCCGAAGGAGTAATCAGTTTTCAGTTCTTCAGTGTCTTTGATGTGTGTGTTCACATGCCAATGGTATTTTGTGACAACTACTTTTGCAATCAGTGGGTGCTGTGCTCTGTAGCACATTTGTGGAACCTCCTCTAGGAAGGCCTCACATCATGCCTAGTAGGTTTTATTGTCCCTTTTCATCACAGAGGAGCTGACTATCAAAGAACTTGAGGCATGTTCTTAAGTGTTCTAGGTCTGGGCCACAGATTAGGTCTTACCACATCTGAAGTCCATGCTTTCCTCACTTGTGTACCCTTCTGTTAGCTGCAGGTCCTCTGGGTATTCTGAGAAAGTTCTTAAGGGATATTTTTTCTGACTTTCCCTCTCAATGTTGGCTTGTCACTAAGGAAAGAAGTCCACTGAGACACTGAGGACCTCCTCCTGGCCCTACCTGTCACAGGCTTGTTCCCAGCTCACCCTTCTAGAGACTGTGTGGATACCCCACTATCTGCACGAAGTCTATCCTGGATAAGATGTAAAATGATGCTTACACTCATGGACTCCGAAGAACCTAAGATGTGGAGGGGGGCGGGAGTGCGGAAGGTTATAGGCAAATGGAGGGGTGGCTAAGGACTTCACATCAAATCCTTGTTCTGCCCTATAACTGTATGCATGTTACCCTAGGCAAATTTAAGAAATGGGAGAAACTAACAGAACTAGAGAGAGTTCACTTTGCTGGTAAAATAATGCCATTTAATACAGTCCTATAGTTCTAGTGTCTTGTGAATTTATATGTGGGGAGCCGTTCAATCAGATTAAGGTTTGCCTCACTATTTTTGGTGGAATGCTTCATGGGTATAAGTTGTAAACTTCTAGAAGAAAACACATACTGTTTTGTTGTCTCTTGTGATGCTAGCAGGCATTTTTATTGCCTAGAATGAATTTAGTGTTTCATCAAGAGTTTCCAAATGATGATAGACTAATTTTATATTTTCTTCATTTATTAGATGGAATAATTTTTAATATACAAAGTAACTTCCCTTCAGCAATTCTTTCATTCTCTTGGGACACAATTAAAAGATGAAATAAGGGAAACACCTGAAAAGTGATTGACTTCCCCCTTTACTTATCCACGTTCATAGTGATAAGTTGCAGTGTTCAAGCACACTGCAAAGGGAGCAATTAATTTTCTTGAAGAAGATGGCATTGCTCCCAGCTACTGATTTTCAACATGTTTGCATATTTCAGCAGTTAGACTTGATTTTTCTTACTGATGCTGAACTTGCTCCATCATTTTCCAGTTGTAGTTTCTTCATGGTAGCTACTGAGTCTCTTGACTGGCCTGTAATATCTTTTAAAAATTTTATTAATGTAAACAGAACAGATTTCATGTATTTAATTGATAACAATTCTTAGAAGACAACATACATCCTTCACCCCCCCACACCAATCCTGTCTCCTTCCTTTCTTTTCTTTCATAAAGTTTTTTTTTTTTTTGACAGGCAGAGTGAGCAATGAGAGAGAGAGAGAGACAGAGAGAAAGGTCTTCCTTTTGCTGTTGGTTCACCCTCCAATGGCTGCCGCGGCCGGCGCACCGCACTGATCCGAAGGCAGGAGCCAGGTACTTCTCCTGGTCTCCCATGGGGTGCAGGGTCCAAGCACTTGGTCCATCCTCCACTGTACTCCTGGGCCACAGCAGAGAGCTGGCCTGGAAGAGGGGCAACTGGGAAAGAAACCGGCGCCCCGACCGGGACTAGAACCCGGTGTGCCGGCGCCGCTATGTGGAGGATTAGCCTAGTGAGCCACGGCGCTGGCCCTTTCATAAAGTTTTGCAATAACTTTTAATAGTACACCTGCTTTTTAGTGAATAGAGTTCAAGGTTGAACTTGTATATTTCTTGGCCAAGATCTGGAATCATCATTTTATTTGGAGAGCCCTAATTTTTTGAGTGAGAAATAACACTTGAAGACCACAATCTGGGTATTCACCATACTCATTGGTATTGTGTTGGTCATTGTTTATGTCTTTTATATGGACTTTGAAATTCACACACACACACACCCTAACAATAAACACAATTCCTGAAAACATTTTAAGATTATTGTAGGGTTTTTCCTCTGTCTCCTTAGGTTATATTCCATTAGGTATGTATGAACAGTGAAATGACTGCATTTTCAAGACCCTTGGTTCATCTATCACACAAAATACAATTAGCTTAATTTTTTAGTTGGTTTTGATTTTTTCATGCTTTTAAAAATGTAATGTTAGCTGTAAACTGGATGATCTTAAGACTAAATATACAAAACCAATAATATTCAAAGTCAAGTTTTTAGTATCTTTCCTTGCCTTCACCCATTTCTTCCATCCTCATATGAGTAACTTTTTCTTAGTTTCAGATTATTCTGCCACTGTGTTTTCACATATATATGAAAAGGCATTTATATATCTAACTCATGTTCCTCTTTTTCTTATAAATGGCAATGAAATATACATTATTTTTTCTACTTTGATTTTTTTCTTCACTCAACAACATATCCTGGAGATCACTCCTTATTTGTATATAGAGACAGTTCACATTCCTTTTTACATTTGGATAACACCTCACTGTGTGAATACACCCTGGTTTATTCAGCTGATCCCATACTGATGATCATTTGATAGGTTTTTCATCTTTTGATATTGCTAATAGTGTGGCATCAGTTGAATAAAATGTACCTTTAGAAAATTTATGAATAATGTATATTATTTAAAAAGTGTACCTTGATTTCAATTTTATAATGAGATCCCATTGATATAAATGCGTTTTAATTCCAATTTGTATGAATTATTTGAAGTACCTTCATATATCCTTTGTATTTTTTTCTGTGTAGCTTTCAGGTAAGTATCAAAATTTGGATTGATAATCAAAGAATAAATGCATATGCAATTATTGAAAGATATTATTAAATGTTCTGTAAGTGTTGGGCTATTTTTCCATTCCCACTATTCACTGGAGATGATCTATTTCCCCCATACCTTTCCCAACAGGTTGTGTTGACAAACTTTTGGACTTTGCCATATCTATCCTTGAGAAAGAGTATATTGAACTGTTTTTCATTTATTTTTCTCTATTATGAACTAATTGAATGTAGTTCTATATATTCCAGGGAAATTTTCATGTCTTCTTTGAACTGCATATTCATATTACTTGCTCAACTTTCTATCAAGTTGTTGGTCTTTGGTTTTCTACTATTAGATATTCTTTGTATAAAAGAAAAATTACGTTTGCAATAAATTGGATAAAAACATATGGTAGCTGCCTTTTTGGGTGGGGCTGGCTTATTTCATTAAGTATAATGGTTTCCAATTGAATCCTGTTTGTTGCAAAAGCAGTACCTCATTTTTCTTTATGGCTGAGGAGTAATCCATAATAAACAACACACACACACAAACACACACACACATAAACACACACACACAGACAATTCCTTTGTCCAGTCATCAGTTGATCAGCATCTGGGTTGATTTCATATCTTAGCTATTGTGAACTCCATTGCAATAAACATAGGGGTTCAGATGACAGTTTCATATGCTGATTTAATTTTGTTTGTGTAAATTACCAAGGAGTGAGATTGCTGGGTCATATGGTACAGCTATTTTCAAATTTCTCAGCTATGTACATACTGTTTTCCATAATTTCTATACTAATTTACATTCCCACCAACAGTGTATTAGCCTGCACTTTTCCCCACATCCTTGCCAGAATGTATTTTTTTTTTATTTTAGAATGATGGCCATTCTAACTGGGATGAGGTAAAACTTCACTGTCTTTTTTATTTGCATTTCCCAGATGGCTAGTGATCTTGAGCAATTTTTAATGTGTCTGTAGGCCATTTGATTTTTCTATTTTTTTTTTTTGACAGGCAGAGTGGACAGTGAGAGAGAGAGACAGAGAGAAAGGTCTTCCTTGGCCATTGGTTCACCCTCCAATGGCCGCCGCGGCTGGCGCACTGCGGCCTGCGCACCGCGCTGATATGATGGCAGGAGCCAGGTGCTTATCCTGGTCTCCCATGGGGTGCAGGGCCCAAGTATTTGGGCCATCCTCCACTGCACTCCCTGGCCACAGCAGAGAGCTGGCCTGGAAGAGGGGCAACTGGGACAGAATCCGGCGCCCCGACCGGGACTAGAATCCGGTGTGCTGGCGCCGCAAGGCAGAGGATTAGCCTAGTGAGCCACGGCGCCAGCCGATTTTTCTATTTTAAAAATGTCTGTTCAAGTTTTTGTGCATTGATTAACTGGATTGCTGTGTTGTTGTTGAGTTCCTTGGGCTTTTTGTAGATTCTGGATATTAATCCTTTATCAGTTTCACAGTTTGCTAGTTTTTCTCTTGTTCTATCACTTCCCTCTTCAGTTTGCTGAGTGTTTCCTTTGCAGTGCAGAAGCTTCTCAGTTTGATGTAATCTCGTTTGTCTTCTTTGACTTTAATTGACTGTGTGTCTGCAGTCTTGTTCAAGAATTCTTTGCCCATGCCAATGTTTTGTGGAGTCTCCCCAGTGTTATCCTCTAGTAATTTGGTGGTATCAGGATAGATATAGATCCTTGATCCCTTTTAAGTTGATTTTTGTATGAGGTGTAAGGTAGGGGTCTTGATTCATGCTTCTGCATGTAGAGATCCAATTTTCCCAGCACCAATTTTTGAAGAGACTGCCCTTTCTCCAAGCATTCATTTTATATCCTTTGTCAAAGACTCATTGATTGTACATGCATGGATTGATGCATTCTGTTCTGTTCCATTGATCCACATGTCTACTTCTACACCAATTCCAGGCTATTTCTCTAATTTTGATTTTTCTTGACTTTTAGTAATTTTGAGTTTGTTTTTTGTTGTTTTTCTAGATCCTTGAGATGGACTGAGAGCTCATGTCTTTGATAACTTTCTACTTTCTTGATGTTGTGACCAACTGTTTGCTATAAGTTTCCTTCTCACTGCTGCTTTTGTTGTGTCCCCTAAGTTTTTATATGTTATATTGTCATATTTGTTTATTTCCAGGAATTCTTTAATTTGTCCCTTCATTTTTTTCTTCTGTGACCCATTGTTCATTCAGGAGCATGCTGTTCAGTCTTCATGTGTTTACACATTTTCTAGAGATTCTTGAGTTGTTAATTTTCAGACTGTTGAAATCTTTTCTTAGTATATACTAAATTGATCTTCTGTATATAAAGATAACTGAAAATGATTCAATGACAGTCAGGAACAGTTTAAGTAGTATTGAGACTATGATATTTAAATTTTTTAACTTTTATATAATGAATATAAATTTCCAAAGTACAGCTTATGGATTACAATGGCTTACCCCCCCCCCCCGTAACTTCCCTCTCACCCGCAACCCTCCACTTTCCCACTCCCTCTCCCCTTCCATTCACATCAAGATTCATTTTCAATTCTCTTTGTATACAGAAGATCAGTTTAGCATACATTAAGTAAAGATTTCAACAATTTGCTCCCACACAGAAACATAAAGTGAAAAATACTGTTTGAGTACTAGTTATAGCATTAAATCTCAATGTACAGCACACTAAGGACAAAGATCCTACATGAGGAGTAAGTGCACAGTGACTCCTGTTGTTGACTTAACAAATTGACACTCTTGTTTATGGCGTCAGTAATCACCCTAGGCTCTTGTCATGAGCTACCAAGGCTATGGAAGCCCCCTGTGTTCACCGACTCTGATCATATTTAGACAAGGCCATGGTCAAAGTGGAAGTTCTCTCCTCCCTTCAGAGAAAGGTACCTCCTTCTTTGATGACCCATTCTTTCCACTGGGATCTCACTCGCAGAGATCTTTCATTTAGGTTTTTTTTCCCCAGAGTGTCTTGGCTTTCCATGCCTGAAATACTCTTATGGGCTTTTCAGCCAGATCCGCATGCCTTAAGGGCTGATTCTGAGGCCAGAATGCTGTTTAGGACATCTGCCATTCTATGGGTCTGCTGTGTATCTCACTTCCCATGTTGGATCGTTCTCTCCCTTTTTTATTCTATCAGCTAATTCCAATTCAATCCCATCAAGGTGGCATGTACCAATGCCATCTCACTAGTCACAGTGATCAATTTCTGTTCACAATTGATCACAATGATAGGACTAAGAACAAAAGGATCACATAAACAAGAATAGTGTCTGCAAATACTAGCTGATATTTAAAATTTTAATAGTGTTTCCTGGTCAAACAACATGGACCTGATACTCTTTTGTTAGAGAATTCTTTACACTAGTATTTCTTCCTTAGTAATTGGACTGCTTCATCTTTCTGTCTTCACTGAGGGGACTATGCATAAGAAAATGTTACAGATTTTCAACAATGACAAGAAAAAAGGACTGGGAACAATTCCTACTCACTAAATTGGCCTTTTTTCCTTCCCTTCCTTCCTTAAGGTCTATATGTGCCTAAGTTCCCAAGCGTCCTTACATAGACATGGCTGGCCTTCAAAAACGTACTTTGAGGATCGTTCTAGTAGGGAAAACTGGAAGTGGGAAAAGTGCGACAGCAAACACCATCCTTGGGGACGAAGTCTTTTCATCTGGAGTAAGTGCCCAATCCCTTACCAAGACCTGTCAAAAAGCATCCCGGGAACGGAAGGGGACAGAACTCCTTGTTGTGGACACCCCGGGGCTCTTTGACACTAAGGAGAAACTGGATAAAACCTGCAAAGAAATCAGCAAGTGCGTCCTCTTCTCCTGCCCAGGGCCTCATGCCATTCTCCTGGTTATGCCGCTGGGCCGCTACACACAAGAAGATCAAAACACTGTTGCACTGATCAAGGGTGTCTTTGGGGAGTCAGCGATGAAGCACATGATCGTCTTGTTTACCCGCAGAGAAGAGCTGGAGGATCAGACCCTGGATGACTTTATAGCGACGGCAGATGTGAGCCTGAAGAGCGTCATCCAGGAGTGCGGGGGCCGCTGCTACGCCATTAGCAACAGAGCAGACAAGGCTGAGAAGGAGGGTCAGGTGCAGGAGCTGGTGGATATGATAGAGAAGATGTCACGGGAAAATCCATGTGGGTATTTTAATGAGAACATATACAAGGACATAGAGAAAAGACTGAATAAGCAGGCAGATATTTTGCAGAAAAAATATGATGAGCAGTTAAAGAATGAAATTAAACTTATAGAAAATGATTGTAGTCTTAAAACAAAGGAAGAAATATCTAAAAGAATAGTAGAGGCAAGGATTAGATATGATGAAAAAAAGAAAGATAGAAATGAAGAAGATGAGCAGAATACATTTGACTATATCTTCTGTTGGGTTAAGAATGCCCTTTGGAAAATATGGCATACATTTTGGAAGTAAATTTTATTATTTCTCTATAATTTACTGTGATTCATTAAAGAGATGGATTGTATTTTCCAAAGATTGCTGTTATAATATCTCCCCTACACACAAAATTTCAAAAGTACATTGAAACAATAATTCTTCTGTATTTCTCTTTACAATATTCTGAATATGAATACATTATGAAATAATTAAATCAAAATAATTACTATAGACTTCAGATATGTATCTTCTTTTTCTTTTTTGGTGCATTGAGAAAATTTAAGAATTAGTTTCCTGGGGCCGGTGCTGTGGGCACTGGTTCTAGTCCCAGCTGCAACTCTTCATATAGCTCTCTGCTATGACCTGGAAAGCAGTAGAAGATGGCCCAAGTCCTAGGGCCCCTCCACCCTCGTCTGAGAATGGGAAGAATCTCCTGGCTCCTGGCTTCAGATCAGCGCAGCTCTGGCCATTGTAGCCATTTAGGGAGTGAACCAATGGAAGGAAAACCTTTCTCTCTGCTTCTCTCTCTCTCTGTGTCTGTAAATCTACCTCTCAAATCAATAAATAAAATCTTCAAAAAAGAATTGGTTTCTTAGAAAATCTCAAAAAAAAAAAAACAAAGAAATTTTAACTACAGTCACCATTTTAAACTCAAATATCCAGAACTATTCTCCCTGCAGAAACAAATCTTTGTACCCACTGAACCACACATGCCCCTTCTTCCACTTCCTCAGTCATTGGAAACTAAATTATATTTTTTGCTTTATAAGTTCAACTATTTTAGATTCCATGCATAAATGATACCATGCAATGTTGTTTTTCTGCACTTAGTTTATTTCACTCAGCGTAATGTACCCATGAGTATATATACCATATCCATTCACACGCCTATGGGTACTTGGTTTATTGCTACATCTTGGCTGTTGTGGAAAATACTGAAATGAATAAGGGAAAGCAGATAACTCTTTAAGATAACAAATTTCTTTTGCTTGACACTTGTTTTGGCCTATTTGTGCTACTATCACAAAATATTGAAAGCAATGTGGCTTATAAACAACAGAAATTTGTTTCTCAGTTATGGAGACTGATAAGTGCACAAAGCTCCAGGAGACTTAAGCTTTAGTGAAGATCTCTTCCTTATAGATATCCATCTCTTAGTCTGAACTCAGCAGCAGTAACTGGGAGTCTTTGTTAGAATTCGTTTGTAAGGAAATTAATCTTATTCAAGAGGGTTCTACCCCATCACATAATTACTTCATAAGCCTCCCTTCCTAATATCATCACCTTGAGAGGGATAATGTCAACCTATGAATTAGGGGTGGGGCACATAAACATTCAGACCATGGCATCACTCATTACATTTCAAAATTCATGCCCTTCTCACATCAGAAGCATTCATTCTATTCCAGTAGCCCCAAAGTCTTTACTTGTTCCAGACTGAATTTTAAAATCCAACCCAAAAGCCCCATCTAATTTTCATCAAAATCATATATGGGTGTCACTAAGTTACAATTCATCCTGTGACAAATTGCCCTACAGCTGTGAGCCTTTGAAATTAAATATATTGTGTACATCTTAAATACAGTGGTGGGACAGGCACAGCATAGACATTCACATTCCAACAGGGAAAATTGGGAAGAAGAAAGGAGCAGGTGTTCTTAAGCAAGTCTAAGACCTCAAGGCCAAAGAACAAATATTGACAGTGTGCTCTGCCCCTCAAGATGTAGCACTTTGGGCTTATGAAGGCGGGGCAGTCCCTACTGTCTCTGAAATGCCCTTGGGGTCATTTTCCAACGTCTTGCACAATGGGCCTTGGCTGCTGTTTAGATGGCTGACTAATATCCTTACTGTTGTGATAAATAGCTCCTGGATTCCATTGAGATGTCTCATCATACTAATCTCCTTATCAAAAGATCACCTAGCCATATCCTTGTGCTTTTTTGTTAACAATTTTACCTTTAGGTAATTTATTTAAAATTTATTTAATTAATTTATTTTATTTGTTTGAGCTTCAGAGAGAGAGAGAGGAGCTCATCCACTGGTTCCCTCTTCAAATGCCCACAATGAGCTCAGGCTGGAACAGGCCCAGGATGGGATCTGGGAGCTCAGTCCAGGTCTCCCACATGGTGGCAGGAACCCAACCACCTGAGTCATCACTGCTGCTTCCCAAGGTCAGCATGGACAGGAAACTGTCCTCCTGAGCCTCAGCTGGTCATCACACTAGGCACTCTGATACAGGCAGCAGGTGTCTTACCTGCCCCTTGTATTTTACTATAGACAGAAGAGTAATAAAGCAGCACCTTGAACATGTTGCTTAGAGAGTTCCTCAGCCAAATACCCAATTTAATTGCACACAAGTTTTAACATCCCCAACAGCAGAACATAGAGTGACTCAGCCATGGTCTTTATGACCTTACAATAAAGATGACCTTTTGTGTCTGAGACCTCATCAGAATGACCTTCATCACCCACATTTCTTTTTTAACTTTTATTTAATAAATATAAATTTCAAAAGTACAGCTTTTGGATTATATTTGTTTTTCCTCCTATAACCACACTCCTACCCACAAACCATCCCATCTCCTATTCCCTCTCCCATCCCATTCCTCATTAAGATTAATTTTTAATTCTCTTTATGTACAGAACATCAACTTAGTATATACTCAGTAAAGATTTCAACAGTTTACACCATCACAGACTCACAAAGTATAGGTGTTCAGTTAGTTGTCACAGATCAAGGAAAATATATGATATGTGTCCCTTTGGGATTGGCTTATTTCATTCAGTATCATGGTTTCCAGATTACACAATTTCATTGCAAATGAGCAAATTTCATTTTTTACCACTGCATAATATTCTATAGAGTAAATATCCCATAATTACTTTGTTTGTTTGAAAGGCAGAGTTACAGAGAGAGAGAGAGAGAGACAGAGAAAGAAAGACTGTCCATCCTCTGGTTCACTCCCTAAATGGCTGCAATGATTGGGCTGGGGCAGGCTGAAGCCAGCAGCCTTGAACTCCTTATGGGTTTCCCATATGAATGGCAAGGCACTATCTTCCACTGCTTTCCCAGGTATGTCAAGAGGGAACTGAATGCGAAATAGAGCAGTTGGGATTCAAACCAGCACTTAGATGAGATGCTTTTCTCACAGGAAGCTATGTACCAGCATCTGCTAAAGCAATTCTAAGAAAGAATCTTATAGCAAAAAATGTCCATATTAAGAAAAAGCAAAGAGACATGAAAGCAATACTCAGGATCACAAACCATCAGGAAATGCAAATAAAAATACACTGAAGTATCTTCTCACGCTAGTAAGAATGGGTATTACACAAAAATAAAAAAAATAAATAGATAACAAAGGGTCGTGAGGTTGTAGGGGGAAAAGGTACACTTTTGACACTATTTTTATACACTATTGACAGGAATGTAATTAGCATACCCATTATGGAAACAATATGGAAAATTCTCCAGACTAAAATTATATCTACCATATGACCCAGCTACTCCAATCCTTCGAATATATTCAAAGGAAATTAAATCAGCATATAAAAGAAGCATCTGTACTCTCATATTTATAGCAGGCCAATTTTATAGCAAAGATACGAAATCAACCAAGATGTCATCAACATATGACTGCATAAAGAAAATGTGGTATATATACACACAAGGAAATATTACTCAGACATAACAAGAATGAAATCCTGACATTTGCAACAAAATGGATGAAACTGGAGATCATTATGCTAAATGAAATAAAGCTGACATAGAAAGAACAAATATCACATGCTTTCTCTCCTACGTCAAAGTTAACATGCAGAAATTTCACAGGTGTCATATTATTCATCATACAGATAGTTATAAATATTGTCTTCCCTGAATTATACCATCTGTATATCAATATATCTTCCTTCCCCCTTTATGATCATTGTTGTGACTCCTACATTATGTGATAAAAATATCCATGTTTTCAAGAAAAATAGAATATATGTGTATGTACATAATATTGCATTTGAAGAGAATGTGGCAAAATATTAAAAGTTGTTAAATCTTAAATTTAAAAATGCTTCTAGGAACATAAAGAAATGTCACACTCTACCCCATAAACATATATATATATAATTATTAATAAAATATTTTAGTGGGAAGAAAAGAATGATCTCAATAAACAACTTAAGTTTACACCTCAATAAACTACAAAAAAGAATAATCAAAACCCAAAGTTAGCAAGAAATGAAAGTATGAAGTTCAGAGCAGAAACAGAGATGAGGGAGGCTGGCATTGTGACATAGCGAGTCAAGCTACTAACTATATTGTTGGCATCCTATATGGGCACTGGTTCATGTCCCAGCTGTTCCAATTCCAATCCAGCTCCTTGCTAATGTGCCTGGCAAAGCAACAGAAGATGGCCCAGTCTGAGCCCCTTGGGCCCCTGCATCCACATGAGAGACCCTGGTGGAGACCCAGACTCTTGACTTCAGTCTGACTCTGCCCTGGCTGTTGTGGCTATTTGGAGAGTAAACTAGTGAATGGAAGATTCACATTTTCACATTCTCTCAAATTTTAAAATTTTATATTTTTAAAACAGAAGCACATACTAGGAAAAAAGCAGTGAAATTAAGACTTTTCTGAATAGAGACAAAGTTTACAAACCTTTAGCTAAGCAGCATTTTATACCCTACTTCTTATTCTTACAGTCTGCTCTTGTCCCTCTTCCATTGAGTCATAGAGTTTGTGTTCCCCCCATTGAAATGACTGGACCCGTGTGACTATGTTGACAAAAAAAGAGGATGGTTGAAACACACCATAGAATTCTCAGGATAGGGGGGTGGAGCCAAGATGGCGGAATAGTGAGGGCGTGCACCGATAGTCCGGGAAAAGATAGTTTAATAAAAGTGGAGTTACTGTAGGCACAGGAAAAGGCTCAGGAAAAAATTGCAGAGGAAACTCTTCTGGATCTAGTGGATGTGACATGGAGGACCTATGGGGAGAGCAAGGTCGCCCACTGCGTGGAAGCCAAGCCGCGGGAGCCGCACCGCCCGCAGCGCCAAGCCACAGGAACCGCGCCACGGAGTCTGCGCACCAGTGCTGGAAGGGGAGGTGAGATAAAAACCTCGGTAACCCAAGACATTGGCGGGGAAAGGCAGAAAGAGCCTAGAGGGAATGAAAGCCCCACTGGGGAAAGTTCACTGGACTGGAGGAGAGAAAATACGAACAAATAAGGGGAACCAGCACGGACATTAGCCTCTCTCTCCACTCACCTTACAAAGCCAAGCAAGACAAAGAGCAGGCACCATTTTACGTATGTAAAGAGGCGCCTGCCATTAGCCAAGCAGAAAAACCTGACTCTGGTGGGGAGAAATAACAGGAGGTTAAGACTTATTTAGTGAAAGTGAGGAGCTAACGAACTGAGACTGTGAAAATCTGAGGGTGGGCAAGAGAACTCACCGAGTACACAAACTCGGTAACTTGGGCAAACTGGTGAGAGACTGTTGAGAAATTTGAGACCACACTGAGGGCTCCATAAACTCTTTGTGTGGTCCCAGGGGTAACGAGACAAACACCCACAGGGGCCAGATTTCATAC